TCAGCAGGATGAGCTGAGGCCATGTAAGTAAGGAAATGAACTGTCCCCCTCCTCCTCGTCACCTGTTTCTGTAGTAAATAGCTATTTTGTAGAGGTATAAAGTACACAGCTTAAAATAAACGGAAAAAAAATCCAGACTAATGTCTTTCACATTCAATGTGTGCTATATTTTCTGTATTTTTACTTTCAGAACTCTTCTCAGTTTGAATATGACCCTGGAAAAGAACAAGCCAATGTTCTCAGCGGCCAGTGCCTGAACTTCTGAGAACATAGGAGTAGTACACAAATAGACCCATGAGACATTTGTATGAAGTTTGGGGGAGTTACTACACGAAACACCTGAAAAGTGCACAAAATGTAGAGAAATCTGTGTCCTCCAAACATTAATCATTAAGATCTGGCCAAAGAGAACATTGCCACCTCAAACTGGAAATGGTGTCTTACCTGCCAGTGCGGTCACTGGTCTGTCCTTAAGAGCCAGTGGTGGGTCCTTACGCTGGCTGCTTTCTTTGCCTGCAGTTGAACCAGAGGAAGGAATCGTGCAGAAGGAATTTGATTTCCTGCTGCCAGAGCCTGGATAATCTAGGAAAAGTTTAAGATGAGTAGGATCAGACCCTTGAATTGAACAACGACAGAACATGATAAATATTGCAGCCACCACCGAAGGCTGGAACAGAAGTGAAAACTAACTTGAGAGTGCTTACTAGTTCCTAGCTGTTCTTTGGGCCCTTATTAATACATAATTATTCCTAGGAGGAGTTTGGCATATGTTGCTACACACATCTGACTTTTTCAGACTGTTTGTGGGAATTAGTTTCTAAAGATATGGAACATTCTAGTCTGTAAGTCTGACAGCTATCGAACTAAAATGGTTGGAAATTCAGATGTTGCTGTAAGGGAATTGATTTCCTATGGCTCAGCTTTAGTATCCAAAGGGATGAGAAGCCCAGAAGCAGCTTTTAAGGAAATATATCACTTCCTGACACAAATTTAAACACTTTGACAGGACAAATGCACATCAGAAATGCAAAGGAAGTTATTTATATAGGAACGGTGATTATGAGGAATCATTCATGTGTTCCTGGCAACACAGTCTCTTTAAAATGTGTCTCATTCTCTTATTAGCAAATTACAAAAAAGCAGTTATTCCTGGTGATGGAAGACCAGATTCTATCAAAATCAACAGGCAGTATTTGATGTGTGAGGGAAAGGCAGCTGTACCTTACAGGTCAGAGCTCTAAAAATATTCACCAAAAGAGGCTTTTTGATCTATACACTTAATCAAAAGTTATTGCGGCATCTCTGGTTTTCTGCAGTTAACTCATGCTTCAGATGATACTAGTACAGGGGACAGCTGTACTCTGAGAAGGGACACTTTTACATGGAAAATAACGTGTGTATATGGAACATCTGGTAATATTTATCCTTTTCTTAGAAAAGCTGGAGCTGAATGTTTCAAAGTAGAGACCTTTCTTTGTTGCTGTGTTCTGTGGGATAGCATTTGACAGACCCATCTCAAGAACATTTTCTCCTCCTGCATTATTTGCACTGCTGTCAAGTACAATATTTGACAAGCTTGGCAGTATGAAAGGAATTTTCTTGCTGATTACGTGGTTGCTTTTTTGTGGACAGATGACCTGAAAAAGATCAAAATAGAGAACAATTATCTTCTTGGAAACTTCTGTTCCAAACTCTTTCCTAAGTGATTTTTTTCTTGGAATATAAGGCAGCAGTATCACAGCATGGGGCAGAGTGGGTATGCAGCTGTTGAGCCTACAGACCTCTAATTCAACTTTAATAATTCATAATTCAACCTTAGCTGGTTACCCTGGGTCACTGTGGCAGCACAGATCCATAGGCTAACTGTGACAGGGTTTACTGCAGTCCTAGGTCACTTCTGCAGCCAATGGTCTTGGTGTCACTAAAATTGGAGCTGTTTAAAGCTAGCTCTGACCCAGGCATGTGAGCTTAAGTTCTACCTCTGTGTCTTCCAGCATTTACAGACCTGCCACATTTTGAGCATGCTACAAGAAAGGTTAGATTTTTGCCATTTCATTAGGACCTCTTCAAGAAGGAAAGGTTCAAAGCAGCTCTTAAGTGGAGAAGGTTGTGTTTGCAAGCACAACATCAGAGCCCGCTGCATGAAGGTGAAACAGTGGGTTTTGTTGGTTTTGGGTGGATTTATCCTGGTTGGGCACTAAAAGGGTTGGAGACATCTCCCCCCCAGAGTGTGGTATTATACATTGTCAGGACTGGCAGAAGAAACAAGCAGCTCATGAATTACCCCTGTAAGACTTTCATGCCATGTACTCACCTCTGAATTGCAGATGCCCGTCTGCAATGTGTATATTTCCGAACCTTTGCATGCATTAAGTGCTGTCTCCTGGAAAAAAAATAACACAGTAGCTCTAGTAAGCACACATATGGTTTGCTCTATTCGCAGTTGTCAGGAGCAAGAAGCTACACTGACACTGACAATTTATACTCACAATATCTACTGTATTCTCAGCTATGCTGATATATAGTCACAGTGAATTGCACAGAGCACTTTTGCATTTTAACACATGTCAGGGGGCACAGAATCTGGCACGACTCTACCCTATTACTCTTTCTGCTGTTTCAAATTTGTTTTGAATCATGCAGGGGAAGGTGAAAATAGCCCTATATTGAGAAAGAAATTGGGCTAGCTATAACATGTTTTCCTTTAAGTATCCAAACAGCAGGGCTGTCCTGTGTTTAGTATGCCAAACTGGCTGCAATAAGGATGTGTCAATACTTGCAACTTTTTCCATTTTGTACATTGCAGCAGATTTGTTCGACTATTTTTTAGTTTATTTACTTCAACACTTACAAACCGAGCCATTTTCAAGAATCTCCAGTAGCATTTTCACAGTCATTTTGGACATATTATCAGTTCAGTTGCCTGAGCAATAAATAGTGCTGTTTGGCAATTTAGCAAATAGAAAAATAAAACCTTACTCAGTGGAGGTTGAAGCATTAGATTATGGAATATTTGGCAGTACAATCCTAAATAAACATCAACAGTAGTAAAAATGACTTGGACTGTAACCATGTCACCTGTTAAAACATTGATCAAGTCTGTTCTGTAATGACAGCCCAGAATGTGATTGCAACCTGTAGAAATAATCCAGCAGGCATTAGCATAAACAACTCACGGATGCCACATTGGGGGTTTCATTGCTGTGCTTGAGTTGTGTAAATCCAGACGGAGTCAGAATATTTGCTCAAGGACTGAAGCATGTGTGACTGTTGTCCCCACTATGACTATTTAAGTTCACTAGATAGGATATAGCTATGTCTGTGGCAGTCAGATTTGTGCCTGATTTCCCATGGCAATGTAGACATACGTGGAATTAGCTGTATCTCTCAGTTGTTGGCCATTCCCCATCCATTCCTGTGGTATCAGAGAACCCTCTTAGACCCTAGGACAAGCAGTGTCTTGTGCCTGAAGCACATCAATGTGGAAGCAGTGAATCACACAGAATCCCAGAACGTTAGGGAT